CCTCCTCTCCTCTTCCCCTCCTCCTTTCCTCCTCCTCCTCCTCCTCCTCCTCCTCCTCCTCCTGTCTCCAGCTACAGTGGGAGCTTGGTGCACAGGCTCTGCCAGTCCTGGGGCCCCACTGCCTATGGCCTCAAATCTGTCCCTTCTTCCCTATCCTGGGCCAGACCTCCAAGCTGCTCCCTGGAGGTTACACAGCTTCTGGCCAGGCTGCTACTCTTCTCAGTCTTCGCTGTCCCTACCCTGGCCAGGTCAGTTCCCTGCTCTCCGCTGGCAAATGCACCCCCATTCTCCCAGAGTGCATTGGGTCCCCCCGATCGCCCTGATGACACCTCCCAAGGCCCACTTCCACTCCACAGAGTGGGAGGCTGCCCCTTGCCTCTGCTCTGCCGGGGTCTCCAGCTCCCCTTGGGGTGTTGAGAGGTCACCATCCTGCAGGGATGTGCAGCCTTGTCTCGCCTTTGCTCCGTAAGGTTTCCAGGGCATGAAGTTAATGTGCAGTTGGTTGGGGCCCAGGCCTGGCCCAGCCTCGCAGTGGTTCGTCTTAGCCAGCTGTTACAGAAGACAAGCACCAAATAAAGCACAGTCAGAAAGACTGCACTCAGGACGAAGACGCCGGTGCGGGCCACTGCAGCGGGGTCTTGTCTGGGAGAGAGACAGGGCAGGTGGGCGAGACACGAGGGCAGCTGAGGGTCGTCGGGGATAAGTGGGGCGGGGCGCCCTGGCCCCCAGGACGCAGAGCCTGGGGGGCTGCTAGGCTGCCCTAGCAGGGTTCTATGCACATGGGCAGTCTCGCCCACAGAAGGGCCACAGCCAGGTTCCCCCTGAGAGGAGCCACGGACGAGGCCTGCGGCCCCGGCTCCAGCCTTTCGTGCAGGCGCCAGGCTGGGCAAAGTGAGGAATCACGTTTCTAACGAGCTCCCAGGGGAGGCTGCTCGGAAAATCTCTGCTGGAAGGCTGTGCAGTCTAGAGGAAACAAAATAGGGGCCATGTGTACAACTAAAATTTCCTAGTGGCCATCTTCTAAAAAGGGGATTAGAAATGGGTGGAACTACTTGTTCTGTGTGGAATCGAACCCAGGGCCTTAAGCTGGCAAAGATTCTACCGCTGAACGGCACCTTTGATGAAGATGAATTTTTTTAGTGGAACCGGGGCGTGAACCCAGGCCCTTGCACTTGCCAGGCAAGCACTTATTCTACTGAGCCCCCTCCCTGGCCCCAGTGAAGACGAATTTTAAGAATATGTTTTACTTAACCCCAAATATGTATTCAGTATAAACATGCAAACAACATAGGGCCCTGGCCGCACTGTGTCACATCCTGTCTTCTGCCCTCGCTAAGAACCAGGGTATCCTTGGCCCTGGAGAGCACGCCAGTGAGGACCAGCCAGCGCTCCGTGACCCCGGGTGCTGAGAGTCGCAGAAGGCAACCGCGGCTGCAGAACTACAAACCCCAGAACTACAAATCCCGGCAAGCATCTGGCGTTATCATGACGCACTTCCTACGCGCGGCGAGAGCAAGTGCGGGCTATAGAACTACAATTCCCGGCATACAATAGGAGCGTACGTGACGCACTTCCTGTGCGGCGGAGACAGCACGCCCCCGGCGGTTGTGCTGCAGCAGCGCGTTGGCAGCGACGATCGCTTGGGCCGCGACAAGTGACGGACGGCCGGGCCGAGGGGAGCCGGGGCGGGGCGGCGGCGTGGCCCAGCGAAGGCGCGCGCGGCAGCCTGGCCCCGCCCCCGCCTGCCCGCCCCGGTGACCTTCACAGGCCCGGGCGACCGGCGCAGGCCCGGGCGGCGGCGGCGCGATGTTCGTGCAGGAAGAGAAGATCTTCGCGGGCAGGGTGCTGCGGCTGCACATCTGCGCGGCCGACGGCGCCGAGTGGCTGGAGGAGGCGACCGAGGACACGTCGGTGGAGAAGCTCAAGGAGCGCTGCCTCAAGCACGTAAGGCCGGCCCCGGCGGGGCAGCCCGCGGCGCCCGGGCCCTCCCGCCCCCTCCCGCGGCCGCCCC